TATGAGTATAGGTAGCTTTGGTTTCTTCTGAAAATTGCCTATTTATGAACTATTTTTTAAAAAGTTAATAGCTAAATATGAAAATATGTTTTGCATGATTTCCCACGTGTAATGGGTATCATTTTGCTTGCCTTTTTAGTGAGTTGGAGATGGGTTGGAGGGAAGGAGAGAATTTAGAACTCAAAATTTAAAAAGAAAAGAATGCTGAAAATAAATAATAAGTTGAGAAAACAAAAAATTTTTAAAAAGTTAATAGTTAACATAATTTAGAAGGATAGGGGTAGAAAATAGACTAGGGTTTCATTGTTACTAAAGTTTGTCTTTGCTTCATCATGTTAAGATTATTTTATGAAAGTGGAAAAGCAATGTGGTATACTGGAAATAGAATAGGAGTCAAAAGACCTAGGTTTTAGTCCTGACTCTGTCACTTATAAGGTCATGTACCTTGGGTAAATTACTTTCCATTTCTGAATCTCTGTTCTTGTCCATAAAATGAGTAGGCTGGACTATGTGATCTCAAGTGTATCTCTAACCCTAACATGCTCTATTTTATGGTCCCTTTAAGCTCTTCCATTATGTGAGGTGAACTTCCCTCTCAGCCCCTACCATTCTATACTGATGTAGAATCCAAGCGATTTATTAGTGGCACATTCATGTTTCCTAGATGACTTAGGGTTTTTATCAGGGAAGACAGTACAGACTGTTTTAGTGCCTCCTTCTTTGTGACAGTTGGGGATTTTACCCTCAGTGCTTGTGTGCCCATGTGTACATAATATCCATTTTGATGTCAGTACTGCTGGTGTTTTCAAGTCTTTGGGGAAATGGTTGGGGAGTTATGATTTAACATACACACATTCATTTTTTGTTGATGCTTTTTGATTTCACATTGATTTTAGATTTTATCCCTTCTTTCTCCCTATCCACGGAGCCTTTCCTTGTAACAAAGATTAAAAAAGAAAAGCCAAAAAAAATAGTAGCTTAGAAAGACTGAATTTGTTGTACACCATGTCTAACATCATATACAATATTCCACACTCATAGTTTCTCCTTCCCTCTACCTTTGCAGTGAAGAGAGGGAGATGCAAAAAAAAATTCATCATTCATTCATTCATTCTTCTCTTTCTTAGAGGCTTCTGGGTTAATGCATGGTAGAAAGAGGAAGATTTTTCCATTTTTTTGTTCTTTGCCAGTGTACTGGGTTTGAGGTGAAACCTCAGAATTGTTTTGATTTGCATTTCTCTTTTTATTAGTGATTTGGAGCAATTTACAGTTCTTTTAAAAACTTTATGTCTTTTGACTCCTTTACTGTTGAGTCACCAAATCTTCTCTGGGTCCAAGCTTAGTAATTATACTTTCATAGCATTCAGCTTCATTTTAGTGTTCTTTCCATTTATGTTGTAGTCAGTATGTGTGTTTTTTATATTGTTTTCCTGATTCTGCTTATTTCTTTTTGCATCAGTTCATATAAGCCTTTCCATATTTCTCTAAATTCCTTACATTTGTTGTTTCTTAAGGTGAATTCGTATTTTATCATATTAATGTAATATAGTTTGTTTAGTCATTCCCCAATCAATGAGCACTTTGTTTTCAGTTCTTTTCTACCTCAAAAAGTGCTATCAATAGTTTGATGAATATTGGAACTTTCTTCTTGCCTTTGACCTCCATAGAAGGTATATGGCTGGCAGGGTATCTCTGGATCAAAGGCTATGGACATTTCAGTCACTTTAAAAAAAAAAAAGGTATACTTTCAGATGATTTTTCAGAATAATTAGACCAATATTTGGCTCTTCCAGCAGTGTATTTGTGCACATGTATATCTGCAGCCCTTCCAGTATTGACTGTTTTCATCTTTTCTTATTTTTGCTTGATGTGTTGAGTATGAAGTAAACCTGAGTTGCTTTGATTTGCATTTCTCTTTTTATTAGGCATTTGAAGCAATCTTTCCTATGATTCTTGATAGTTCCACAATTTTTTGAGATGTTTGTTTATGGCTTTTGACCACTTATTTGTTGAGGAATCGCTCTTGATTAGTAGCTCATGATTTAAAATATGCATTAAATAGATATGAAATACCTTTGTGAGGGTATGAACAGGCAGTTTTCAGAGGAAGAAATTAAAGCTATCTAAGAGTCATATGAAAAAATGCTGTAAATCACTATTCATTAGAGAAATGCAGATCAAAAAACTGAGGTACCACATCACACCTATCAGATTGGCTAACATGACAAAACAGGAAAATGATAAATATTGGAGAAAATGTGGGAAAATTGGAACACTAATGCATAGTTTGGTGGAGTTGTGAACTGATCCAACCAGTCTGGAGAGCAATTTGGAGCTATGCCCATAGAGCTATAAAACTGTGCATACCCTTTGACCCAGCAATACCACTTCTAGGTCTGTACCCCAAAGAGATTAAAAATGGGAAAAGGACCCACATGTACAAAAATATTTATAGCAGCTCTTTTTGTGGTGGCAAAGACTTGGAAATTGAGGGGATGTCCGTCAGATAGGAATGGCTGAACAAGTTGTGGTATATGAATATAATGGAATACTATTGTGCTATAAGAAATGATGAGTAGGCAGACTTCAGAAAAACCTGGAAAGACTTATATGAACTGATACAGAGTGAAATGAGAACCAGGAGAACATTGTATACAGTAACAGCGGTGATGACTGACTTTGATAGACTAAGCTCTTCTCAGCATTACACGGATCTAATACAACTCCAAAAGACTCGTGATGGAAAATGCTATCCACATCCAGAGAAAGAACTTAGGAGTCTCAATGCAGATGGAAGCATACTATTTGTTCTCCTTTTCTTTTGTTGTTTTGTTTTTTTCCTTCTTTCTCATGGTTCCTCCCATTAGTTCTGATTCTTCTTTAAAATCATGACTAATGTGAAAATGTTTAATATGAATGTATAAGTAGAGCCTATATCAGATTGCATGCTGTCTTGGGGAGAGGGGAGGAGAGGGAGAGGGAGAAAATTTAAAACTTAAAATCTTATGGAAGTGAATGTTGCAAACTAAAAATAAATAAATTATTTAAAAAAAAGAAATGCTTTTGTGTGGTCTAATGTAAATAGACACTATTCCTTTTTTAGCCTCTTTTAGGGTAGAAAAGTTAATTGTATGGTTTCCATCATATATTGTTTTATGTTAATCCAGAATTCTAAGTGGAAAGGAGCTACAGAAAAATCTATTGATATGTAATATGTAAATTGTTAAAATGTGCAGAAACATTTTCTAATTAATATTTGTCTTCACCACTAAGCAAGGGGAAGTGACTATGACTAAAGTATGAGTCTCCCTTTTGCCCCCTCAACTGTACCTTCAACACACATAACAAGTGACTTTACAAGTTTGAACCTTTCCTTCTTCTCCCATGGGAGGCAGTGTGAGTGTAGTGTAAAGAACACTTGTTGGGTAATTGGGAGTCCTGAGTCTAAGTCCTGGCTTCACCACTAAGTGCCTCTGACCTGAGATAGGCCACTTTTTCTAGTCATGAGTTTCTTTATCCCTAAGAGTGCTGGCCCTGGAGTCAGGAGAACTTGGGTTCAAATATGGCCTGAGACACTTACTGGCTGTTTGACCCTGGGCAAGTCATTTAACCCTGTTTGCTTAGTTTTCTCATCAATGAGGGTACTGGCATCCTTCTAGTTACTGAGGTTTTCAACCTCAGTATCTCAGCCATCTCACCACATATATCCAGTCACATGCCGAACATTGCCATTTCTGTCTCTGTAACATCCCTGGCATCTGTCCTTTTCTCCCCACTCACCCACCACCATGGTTGAGGCCCTTAATACCTCTCACCTGGACCCTTAAAATAGCCTCCTAATTGGCTTCCCTGCCTCCAGTCTCTCTTCACTCAAATCCATCCTCCATACAGCTCCCAAAACAATTTTTCTTAAATACAAGTGTGGCTATCTCACTGATACTCACTGTACTCTAGTGGCTTCCTATTACCTTTACGATAAGGACTAAACCTATGATCTCATTGTCACTGGAAACTCTTGGGTGAGGAAATGCCCTCTACCAATGCAGTTGGCATCTCTGCATCTTATAGTCTTAGAGCAGAGATGTCAAACTTGAAGCCTGCTGGCCACAAGCAGCCCCCAAATCCCTCAGTGTAGCCTGAACCAGATTAAAATGTAATTGAAAAATATTTAACAAAATAAACAAAAATTTAATACAACATAGATAATGTTAATTTATGGTTTTCTAAGTCAGTATGCTGCAGCAGGGATCCTTTGAGTTTTATGCCATTGGTCTTAGAGGGTTCTGTAGAACAGTGAGAGATTAAGTGATGTGCCTAGGGTCTCTCAACCAGTATGTATATCTAATGCAGGACCTGAATTCAGATCTTCCTGACTCTGAGGTTAGCTTTCTATCCTTTAGGCCAGGACTTCTTAAACTTTTTCCACTCTTGATCCCTTCAGTGCTTCTTAAACTATAAAAGTTTAAGAAGTGCTGCATTAGGCCATGAGGTTTCTCTTTACCTCTAGGATCAAATAGAAAATTCCTTGGCATTTAAGGCCCTTTATAACCTGGTCCCAACCTACCATTCCACTTTCTTACATATTACTCCCCCTTAAACAGACACACTGGCATTCTCAGTGTTACTCATACGTGGTGCCTTTGTATTGGCTATCATCCGTGCCTGGATACACTCCCATCTCACCTCTTATTCTTAGAATTCTTTGTTTCCTTCAAAGTTTAGCTCAAGCGCCACCTTCTATAAGAAATCTTTCTTGATCTGCTAGTGCCTTCCCCTCAAAATTATATCTGTTTTGTATATAGCTATGTATATACATGCTGTCTCTCCTGGATAGATTGTAAGTGCCTTGAGGGCAGGGACTGTTTCACTTTTGCCACCTTGTGATTGTGCTGATTCTGATTGAGTTTTCACCAAAATCTATATGAGACTTCAGAAATGATTTCTACAGTATTCTGCAGTGTAGTATAAATATTAATAACCTTTGTGTTATTTTATTGTAGGCAAAATCCAGAGACTACATTTGAAGTGTATGTTGAAGTGACCTCTCCTGGGACAAGAGGCCCTCTTTCAGGTACTTGTGTGTTTGGTTAAGATGAGGTCTATTCTGTTTGCTTTTACACATAAGATACATGTTTAAATGGCAGAGTGTTTATTTTTTAAAAATATATATTTGTTTTGAGGGTGTTTGTAGCCCTGGGCTGTTTTTACATCATACTACAAGGAAAAAAGTCATAATAAGTATTTTATACATTTCAGATCATGCAATGCAACATATTGTCTTGTTTCAATTATGCCAGAAAGGTCTTAATTTGAATCTTACCCTTGATATGAGAGTAAGTTGTTACGTGTGAAGCAGTATTCTCATCAGGAAGACATAGATCACTGTTTTCCTTGTAAAATTCTCTATCTTGTTGTGTTCCTCTATAATCAAACCTGAAAGGGACACTTGATTTCTAGTCCATGTTAATTTGACATGGGCAAGTCACTTCCTGTCTTTGGACTTCAGTTTTCTTACCTGTGAAATGGAAGCGTTGGATTAGATCACCCCCAACATCCCTTTTCATTCTAACTGCTGTCAGTATATATGGTGTAGTGATAATGGATAGAACATTGGTCTTAGAGTCAGGTGACCTGGGTTCAAATTCTGCCTCACACTTTGAGGACTAGCTGTGTGACCATGGATAAATCACTTTAACATGTTGTGGTCTCAGTTTCCCTATCTGTAAAATGGGAACTTTTGTACTTCTAGAACATAGAGTTGTAAAGAAAGTACCTTGCAAAACTATGCAAAAATGAGTTACTGTTAATACTCCCAACATATGTCCCAACATATGTGTTCGAAGGCCCTTTCACCTCTAATATTTTCTCATTCTTTGACTTCTTAGCACACTTTCTTGTTCTTTTAAAAATAAGAGTTTTTTTTAATGATGATTTGGATGTAACCTTTTAGAAAAAAAACATATCAAGTGATACATGTAGAAAACTACAAATGGGCTCAATTTATTTATTTTCATTTAGTTGCCTATATTTTGAGTGTCTTAGGTGAGCAGTCATAAATATTCAGTCTAACCTCCTTTGTGAGTAATAATTATCATTTGAGCAAGAATGAGAGTATTGAAAAGGAAAGAATTAGCAAACGTAGAAATGAGATAAAATAATAGAATAAGCACATTGCAACATATTACCAACAATTTACAGGGGGGGAATAGAGGCATCATCTAGGACACGGTATCACTAGAAAAGGAGGTGGGCTGATCCTGTATTAAGAGTCAGGGACAACAGATGGACAGCCTGAGGGCTGTACTGGTCTCCATGAAATATAAAATAATCAGAGGAAGGCCTTCAGTGTATTGGGTGGATACTCTAAGGAGGATTTAACAGAAAGACATCGATAAGAATTGCACTGGATGAGACAATATGAAAGAATTTTAGTCTGTCCTGGTGAAGGGAGCTTTTGCATGGATGAGATCACAGATTTATTGAAATATGGAATTATCTTGGAAAAAATCACCATTACTGTATAAAAGTGACAATGGATCTCTATACCTGGGAAATCAGTTTGCATTCTAGTCTATTGGTTTTCCCTCTATGGCAAATGTGTTTACTTTATGTCATTAAAAAAAATCACTTCTCTGTTAGTTTAGAAAATGTTGCTAAGCTTTTATGAGTATCTCTGAGTGGTAGGTCAAATGATTTCCTTCTTACAGATAAAGGGAAGTCATTCATTCATACTTAGGGAATACTTACTACATTCAGCAAACTGTGCAAAGTGACATAGGGTATATAATCCACCTTAGTCCTCTAGGCCTTAATAGAAATGGATACACGGAGAAGGGACCTTAGAAAATATGATGTTAGTGTTGGAATGAACCTGTATAATTATCTGGTCTGATTCTTTTAATTTTATTGATAAGGAAACTGAGATCCAGAGAAGTTATCTGACCTAATTAAGGTTTCAAGATTGAATTAATAACAGAGCCACCATGATGAACCCTAGCTGAATCACTTGAGTTAGGAAGTTCTGAGCTGTGATTGGTCTAAGGCCAATTGGGAGTCCTCACTAAATCCTGCACTAATATGATGAGCTCTGGGGAGCTAAGGGTCACCAGGTGGCTAAAGAGGGGTGAACCAGCCTAGGCTAGGAAAAATGGAGCAGGTTAAAGCTTCCATGCCAGTCAGTACTGGGATTAGACCCTTGAGAGGCCCACTTCCAGCCTGGGAAAGATGGGAAGATCCAGTCTTCAAAAAACTAAAACCAACCAAATGACACCACCACAATAATAACAAGAGCTATTATTTATATTGCAATTATAGTTTAAAAGTGCTTTTTATAGGATCCTAAACCTGGGACTAAAAGGGACCTCAGAGTTCATCTTATCTAGCCTCTCATTTTACAGCTGAGGAAACTGAGGCACAGGGAGATTAATTAATGGCCAAAGTCATGTAGGTAGTGTTGGAGAAAGGATGTGAATCCAGGACCTTTGACTTCAGAGCCAGCAATCGATCTGTGAAGTAGGTAGTGCAAATATTATTATCTTCATTTGGCATATAAGAAAGTTGAAGCTAAGCAAGGGGAAGTGACTATGACTAAAGTCACATAAGTAATGAGGGTAAAGATATACTTTGGATCTTGGTGTTCTGATTGCAAAAACTTCAAGCTGCTCACTAAAATAAAAATACCCGCCTTCAGAAAACATTCCTGGAAAACACCTGGAAAAAGCATCACTCATTTAAACATAAAGAGAAAAAACGTTGTGTCATAAGGTTACTTTTTTAAGTAATCAAGAAGAATTTTAGACCAAAACTAAATATACTTGGTCTACCCATTGAGCCTTAGATGTAACCCAGAGGAAGAGCAAATGATCAAAGAGCCTATGCTTCAGGGATATGGTTTAGTTAGTCAGAGTCAAAGCCAAGTTAGATATTCTAAAGTCCTTTCCAGCTCTGAGACGCTTTTAAACAGCATCAACGTTCTGAGTTTCTTTCTTCCCCTCTTCCCTGCTGTCCTCTCTCTTCCTTCCCTTTCCCTCCTTCCCTGCTATTCCTCCTTCTTCCTCCCTGTCTCTTTCCTGCCTCTCTCCCCTCTCTTGCCTCACAACTTCCCCTCACCTATTCCCCCCATTTTTCCTTCCCTGCCCCTTCAGTCTCCCTTCACCCCCCTTTTCTCTGTTTCCTTTTTGCTGAATCCACATATATGCAGTTTGTCTACTGATTTTTCTTTACATCACTTCATATAAGTTTTTCTGTATTTCCTTGACTGCTCATATTTATCATTTTTATGATAACATAATATTCAATTACATTAACGTACTGTAATTTATTCAGCTATGCTTCAGTTATTAGGCACAGAAGTTGTTTTCAGGTTTCCCCCCCTAACACCCCCCCTCCACTTTATTTGGGGTTTATACAGGTAAATCTTTTCCTTTTTAATGATGTTTTGGGGATGAAACCCTAACAATGGAATTGCTAGGTTGAGAGCTGTGATTGATTTTGTGACTCATTGCATAGTGCTGTATTACTGTTCATAATATTTGTTTGTATCAGGCTGCTGCTGCCTGCTAACAATATATTAGAAGTCCTATTTTCCTATAGCCCTGCAAACATTGGATTTTATCCATTTTTGCTGTTTTTGTCATTCTAGCTGTCCAGATGTTTTAAGGGGCTTTTGGCCATTGTTAGATAAAGACCATAATCTATTACTTAATATTTAATCTCGTTGACTGGTGTAAGTTCATACTGTCCTAATTTTCTATAAATTGTCTGTGGTAGATTTGTTCCCCTTTGATGTTCTACAATCTCTTATCACTATCATTTGAGAAAATTGCTAAGAATCTACTGTATGAATTGTCTTTGTTTCTTGTGTCTGAACTGTTTTTTGGTGCCAAATTCTCTGGACGAACTTAAGCATAAACATTACATTGTACAGTACTAGTGTCTGGGCATAATCTTCCCTTTGAAGTTTGTTTGCATCCCCCTGGAGGGATTAATTCCCTGCTGTGGGAAGGTGGGTTAAAAAGCACTGAAACTACTTTGCAGTTTTTTAATTGGGAGATTTAGTATACATTTTGTTCTATAAACCAAGTGCATTTACAGGGTGCTTATTTCTTAGTCCTTTGCATGTCCAGTGATATATTTTTACTGTTAGAAAATAATTTTGAAACTTTAAAAAGGCTACTTAAAAAAACTGATAGGTTGTCCCACAAATATGATGCGTGATAACAATCTTTGAGATAGGTGTGTGTATTTGGAAACCTTCAAAGTTACTAATATAAATGAACTTATTTTAATTCAACAAATATACATTAAGCATCTACTATGTTCAGAGTCCTTCTTGTGCTAGGGATCAGATGAAAAACAACTGTCTCCGACCTCAGGGAGTTTATAGCCTAATGGGGGAGATATGACATGAATGACACAAAGGAGCATGTGATAGGGACCATAAAGAATCTCACAAGAAAGCATAAGAAAATTGGAGGAGGGATAGCTCCCTCTTGATTTGTCAAAAATCCTACCTCATCTTTTAGGGTATAGCTAAAATGTCACCATTTTTTATCATCTCGGTAGTATGTGATTTCTCCTTTTTCTGGAGTTCTGCAGCACCATGTATCTGTACTAGCTACTTCCCATATTCTATTTTTATGTTATAGATATAGTCATACAGGCCTACTCTGCACAAGGTTGCCTGGACTAATGGTGTTCCAAAACAATATACTTAATGTATCCTCAGCCTGGCATTTGAAGTCCTCTGCAGTCTCATTGATTTGATGGAAATAACAGCCTCTATCTTCCAGTTTTTTGTGGCTCCAATTAGTGATGTTTGCTTGTACTTGCCTTATCTTTTCTAGTAGATTGTAAGCCAGGGGTTCCCAAATATTTGTCTTTCTTACCCTTGGTTTTCAATAAAACCTTTCTGTACTTGCTATTCAATATAAAATATGAAAGGAAATAAATTCTAGAGCTTACCATGCATATACACATAAGAAATAAAGTAAAGATTTTTCATGGAGAAAACAGTATTTGGCACATAATATTTTTTTTAGCCCCATAAAATTGTTAATGTAAATTTTTTCA